CTCTTCCTCGGCATGATGGTGAAATTGAGTGGAGTCTGCAGCTTGGTGAAATTTTGCATCAGCATGGAGATCTGAACTAGTGGGATGACTCTCGTTCTTTGATGGTCATTACATGGTTTGTCCATCACACATTGCGACCAGTATGTTTGGAGTCTCGAGTAATCCAGCTGTTTGGTCATGCTGTTACTTGGATTGAGGATCTCCGGAACGCTTGGGCTGATGCCCTTGACCCGCTGTTGCCTTTTTCGATTCACATTGTTGTACCTCGTCCATCTCAAATCCGCATGCAAAGAGCTACATGCCATATTCTTCTTGAGCAGAACAAACCAGACCATCGAGCTGCATTGGTGCTTACTGCGTCCATTGAGGGCACTGCTAATGATGGTATCATGCAAGGAGCATACTCTATGCCCATGCGCCTCCAGCTCCAAGATGTCATTGACACAATGGGAATTGCGCAGCACTGCATAAATCGACCATGTTCGCTCTTGAGAGGTAGGCAGCTCTTACCAACTCATGATCTGACAGATGTGAACACTGGGCAAAGCCTTAGGGTACGAATCGGTTTACCCGCTCCACAGCCAGATGAGCAAATTGTGGATGAATTGCCGTTTGATGCTCTTGCCCTGATGCAATGTTTCCAGTTCAATCCAAATGCACCCAGTTTTGTGCCTGGTACGTTGAATATAGTTAGTCAGCCGGAGTGGACACAAGATCTCTACCAGTTGTGGGGCACCAGTGCGGTGGAGAATGATGGTGTATGGGTTGCTAACTTTCTTACCTGGTTCGTTTCGCCTGCCAATGGGCGAATGCGGTGTTTGTATAGCCGTCAGGTATCGCTTGTGGAAGACTTTTCATCATGGGAAAGGGTCCTTCGGCAAGCCTGGATTGACCTATTAGATCCTACTGTAGCGGTTGAATTTGTAGTTGTTGTGCCGCAGCCTGAACAGATGGAGCCGATGATTGCCGGCCATGTGGTTCTTGTGCAGCATGCAATTGAAACTATGTCTTCCCCGCTTGTCACAATCTCTGATGTTGCCATCCATCAAGGCAAACCATTTAGAGTTGTGATTGCAGTCAATGAAAATGCACGCTCGAGGGATTTCCTCCAAGGAGTTGGCTATGATCGAAACTGCTATCTGGAAGCTGCGCAATGCCAACTCCGACATGGTACTCTTGCAATTTCTGAAGGACGGGTCATTCCAGTTCGGGATGGTGATTGTATTTATGTGCAGATCACACGTCCTTTTCTGCCGAGTGATTGGACACCACCTATAGTACCTTTTCCGCCTGGCGTAGAGGGACAAAGTTTCCTTCAAATCCATTCACAGCTGAAACACAGGAAGTCACCGAAGCAGCATAGAGAATCAAACCCTAATCCTGTTCAACTAGTGACTTGGTATGTGGACCAAGAGCGCCCGATTTGCAGATCGTTTAGATGTGTCCTAGTTTCCTCAAATGATTGTCTGGCTAAATGTGCAGAGGAACTTTGGGATGATGTCCTCAAAGGGCAAACTTGTCACATGTATGCAGTTGACACCATGTGCAAGGTGATGCCGAACGTGGAACATGAAGAAATTTGCTTTCTGCTGAGTAGGGATCCGCAGTCGAATGCAGCTGTGGTACTGCTTGAATCCGCTCTGGACACAGGAAGGGAGGTTGCAGTTGAACATGTAGGTATTTTTGCTGCCGATAATGCACCATTGCAGAGCCTCTGGACGCACCTGCAAGGACGCCCAGGCTCCCCTAAGCTTGATGTCATTGACACCTTTATCCAGGGCAGACAGTGCACTGGATCTATGTGGCCATTGCTTACATCAGGTATGTGTATCAGTTTTTGGATGGACCAAAAGAAACTTTCCCAACAGCACATCCGAATTGATTTCACCGATGTAATGCATGTGTTCAATTGGCTTGATACACATTTCTTTCTGCCACAGTTTGATCTGCCTCAACATTTCCCATTTTTGCCCTGTAGTCTTGATTGGACGCAGTATTGGTGGGATCAGAATTCCGGGGGAACGCAGTTGCGGATTTATTTTGATGGTTCGTACATCCCTACGGAGCAAGGATTGAAGGCGGGGGCAGCAGTTGCGGCATTTATTGGTGATCAAAAGGGTTGGACCTTTGCAGGCGCATTGTCCACCAGTTTATCAAGCATTTCTACATCGCATTCGGCTGAGACTGCTGCTAGTATTCTTGCCTCCAAATTTATTTTTGATTTGCTGAAACTGGTGCGACTCCATGCCCAAGACACAGAGTTAGAGGTGTTGCTCTGCTATGACTCACTTACAGCCGGTAAGCAGACGGCTGGGTCATGGAATGCGTTCTCAGATCCGATCTCAGGACATTTACTGAGAAGCTTACAGAAAGTTATTGAAACCAGATTTCGAATCAAGATGTCGTATCGGCACATCAAAGCACACTGTGGAGAGCCCGGCAATGAGCTAGTAGATACCCTAGCCCACCAAGCGGCCTTGGGTGAACCCCTACATGATTTGGAAGATTGGCTCAAATTTGTCACAGCTAAGGCATTTGTTGACGCAGCTGAATGGGTTTGGTATTTGTTTCGGTCGGATTTGTACTGGGAAGGGAAGTTTCTTTGCATGCCGGCAGCGCCTGCCACTCTGCCCACTGACTTGGCAGTACCCACCCCAACGGAGGGACAGGACTCGGAGATTGCGGAGGTTGGGGAACTTGCGCTCAGGCTTGCCACATGTAATGTTCTTTCCCTTTTGCCATCGTCATCCAAATCTCTATCGTTTACTGGACCTGCCCGTCAAGAATGTCTTCTTCAACAATTTGAGGAAGAGCAGATTCACATTTTTGCATTTCAAGAGACCCGGGTCAAACGGCTCTCAGCAGCTCATGATGCCCGCTACTGGCTCTATCGAGCCCCAGCCACAGCACATGGCCACTTTGGTATGATGATTGGACTCACGAGGACCCGTCCTATTGGTGTTATCGGCACAGGTCGGAAGCAGAAGGACATTTTCTTTGCTCAGGATGATGCCTCTATTGTTGCGGCAAACCCTAGGTATCTTGTCCTTAGAGTTAAGACAGCTCTGTTCCGTGCCATCATCATTGCAAGTCATGCTCCACATTCAGGTGCTGCCACAGCTGAGATCACTGCTTGGTGGTCTGAACTTGCTGGTGTCATTCCAGCCAAATATGCGATGTGGCCACGCATTTTACTTGCGGATGCAAATGCTCGGGTTGGGTCAGAGCCATGCCACCATATTGGACCGCACCAGGCGGAGCGTAGTTCTGGTAAGGAAGAGGGATTTATTCAATTTGTCCGTACGCAGGGTCTGTTCTTACCAGCAACGTTTGCCGGATGTCACAGTGGTGAAGGAGGCACTTGGCTTCATACCAATGGGCATTGGTGTCGCAACGATTTTGTGGGACTGCCAGTTGAGTGGCAATATGAATCTTGCCATTCTTGGATTAGTTGCCATATTGATGCGGGATTAGCCAAGGAGGATCATCGTGCAGCTGTTGTGCAATTTGCCAAGCATGCAAGGGTCCTGAAGACCTACAACAGGAGGCCACAGTTTAAGTTGAATCTGCAGGAGACAGACCGACTTTGCCTGCCGGATACCATCCATTGTGATTGGTCCATTGATGTGCATACTCATGCTCAAACCCTTCAGGATGGGCTCGTTGAGCACCTGTGGGGACAACACACCCGGCCGGTGAAAAAGCCAGTTAAAAGCACTATGTCTACCGCCACATGGGAGTTAGTGTGTCAGAAACGTGACTCTAGGCATATCCTAGCACAGCATGGGAAGGTACACAAAAGTACATTGCTTGCGGCTTGGTTTGCTTGTTGGAAGCATGCCACTGTTGATCTAGAGTCCCACAGCCTCTTTGCTGAGTATGATACACTACTCCGCCAACAGGACAGACTGGTTGCTGTTGCATACTCTCGATTTCGATGTTTGGGAAGACAGGTAGTCAAAGCGTTGCGTAAGGATGACATTGAATTCTATGACAAGTTGCTGCGAGATGGGGCCTCTTTTGTTGGCCCGAGGGAAGCTAAGCAGCTATGGCAAGTTGTCAGGAGGTCATTGCCCCGATTCCGCCAACGTAAGATGACAACCCCTCCTTTTCAATTGGAAGGCCTTGAAGATCAGTGGATGCCTCATTTTGGTCAATTAGAAGCGGGCACAGCTATTTCATTGCCTGAGCTCTTGCAGACCTGTGTCAAGCGACAGACCCGCCAATTGTTTGATGCACCGCAAACTTTGTGTATCAGTGAATTGCCCACCCTTTTTGCCTTAGAGGATGCATTCAGACGGACCATGCCTGACAAGTCCACTGGAGATGATCCGCTCCCTTCCGGGCTTTTTCATCATGGAGCCAGTGCAATGGCAGGATTATACCATGATCTTCTGGTTAAGGAATTCCTTTGGCATTCTGAACCCCTGCAATTTAAGGGTGGGCCTGTTGCCATCATCCCGAAATGCCTTGCACCCACTACAGCAAAGCAGTTTCGTGGCATACTTTTGCTGGGCAATATGGCTAAGCGTACGCATTCAGTGTTGCGTAGTCATGTCATGAAGCATCTCTCACCGGCTCGAGCGCCTGGCCAATTAGGAGGATTTCAGGGACAGCAAGTCATGTTTGGATCCCAGGCCCTCAGACTTTTTGGCAAGCTGGCCGATGTGAAGGGTATTAGTAGTGCGGTGTTATTCCTTGATCTCACCAGCGCATTTCATCATTTGGTTAGGGAGCTAGTCACAGGTTTGTCTACGCCAGCTAGCCTTGATGTTGTGTTGGATGTGCTTACGAAAACGGGTCATCCTGCTGAACAGATCAAAGCAGCTTGTCAGTTGCCAGGTTTATTAGCAGAAATGGGAGCACCTTCGTCTCTAATCCGCCTGGTTCGAGATATCCATGCTGAAACATGGTGCTCCCTCCCAAACCGGAAATACCTGCACACTCACCGTGGAACAAGACCAGGGAGCCCTCTCGCAGATATCATCTTTCATGTTCTCATGGCTGCAGTTGCCAAGGACGTTGACGCATGGATTCTGGAACACAGGGTGCATTTGCCAGTATTGCCTACCCTGGATGATGCATTCCCTAGTATCCTGTGGGCAGACGATGTAGCTATTCCGTTAGCCACCGAGAAGGCAGAGGATCTTGTTCCATTACTTCTCGATTTATTGAGAACAGTGAGAGAAGCATTACATGCCAGAGGTTTTCTGTTGAATTTCGCGTATGGGAAGACCAATGCAGTTGTGTCCTTTCGTGGCACAGGTGCTAGTGAACTTCGTCAAACCTATCAGCTGATCGACCAACCAGGGGTTTGCTGTAGGTTTGTTGATGGGGAGGAATCCTGGCTTCATTTTGTTCCAACTTACAAACATTTGGGTACCTTTTTCACATCGGACCATGGTTTGGAAGTTGAACTTTCAGTCCGCATTGGGACGGCAGCATCCGCCTTTGCGCACCTAGCCAGACCTCTCCTGACCAATCGCCATCTCCCCACCAATATTCGGCTGCGACTTTTTCATGCACTCATTTCCTCTAAACTGTTTTTCGGACTAGGAGCGTGGCATACCTTGACTCCGAAACAATTGCAGCGCCTCACTGGCTTTTATGTTAAGTCATTGAAAAAAGTCATGCGGTGGCCACAGGAGAAGTGGATGCAGACTAATGCCCAAGTGTTCGCAGCTGCACAAGTCTTAGATGTACGGGCGAGACTAGCGGCTGATCGACTCCTCTATGCTCAGAGGGTGTTTGCGGTTGGCCCCTTTTTCCTGCAGAATGTTATCCACATCGAAGCAGCCGCTGTCAAAGATTCATGGCTGGCAGGGTTGAAAGCAGATCTTGCTTGGATGGATGCAGTCACTCCCAATACCTTGCCAAAGGAGTGGAAAGAGGACATGACGTCCTTGATTGAGCAATGGCAGAATGCTCGATCTAAATGGAAAGTGCAGGTTAAAGCTGTGGCACGCAAGCATCAATTTCAAGAGAAAATGATGGCAGACATAGTCTCACTGCATAAATCGGTATTCGATGTGCTGCGCAACTCCGGTGCATCTTTTCAGAAGGATCCCTTTGCTGTTTCTATTGAGGATGGAGACCAGCAGTGCTTTTGTGGGGCTTCCTTCACTACGCACAGAGGTCTCCTTGCTCATCAAAGACGCAAACACATGATTTTCTCAGCCGAGCATCGATTTCTACAGGAAGCAACCTGCATGCATTGTGGTAAATACTGCTGGACGACACAGCGTCTGCAGCAGCATCTTGCGTTCATTCCCAAGAAGTTAGGTTACAATCCGTGTTTCCATGCCCTTTCTTCGCAGGGAAGAAGCTGTGATTATGCCGCAGTCAAGATGCCGAAGGCAGTTGTCGGATTAGCAAGGCGTGAATCCCTACAAACAAGTGTGCCTCAGCTTGAACAGCCGACTTTGATTGCCAAACAAAGGGCACAATGGGAGGAAGAGTTAGCTGCATGCCATGTTCAATTGATCATCTCTGATGAACCACCAGATGCTTCCGAGCGAGGTGCTCAGATTGGAGATGCGTTGACGGCATGTACGCAACAGTGGTTTCAGATGTATTATCCTAGTGGTGCCAATGAAGCAGAAAAACAGGAATTGATTGATGGATGGATCCAAGTCCTTTGCATCGATTTTGGAGACAATAATGTTGCATGGGATAACTGGCTTGCTTTCGTTTTCCTTGCATGGGGAGACCATTGGTTACCGGATATCATTGCAAGTTTTTTGGATGGAGAAGCAGAAGGAGTTGTGGATGAGCTCTACGCTCAGTTCGCTGCTGAACTGCCTAGGTATCAAGTCCTCGCTCGTATTGCTTTCTTAGAGACTAGTCTGAGGCACTGTGTTGAGCAGGAACCTTTGCCCCATCGACCTCTGAAAGCAACAAATGAAGCAGTCAAACATCCAAAGAGCACTTCGCAAGTTTATCAACCTGTGCCACGACGTTTTGGGGAGCATGATCAGTGGTTGAGGGATATGAGACAGTGCACCTTTGATTCCATACCGGATGCTGCTCGATGTCCGAGGTACAAGGATGTTGCTGACCCACCGACGTTTTTAGTGATTCACTTGTTCAGTGGAAGACGCAGGAAAGATGATTTCCATGATGCACTAAAGACAATTGCAGCACAGAGCTGCTGGCAAGTCATAGTCTTGTCCATGGACACCGCAGTGTCCCTAGAGTATGGAAACCTCATGATTGGGGCACCCTCGTGGAGTTCCCTGATTGCACTTTATATGGATGGACGAGTTTCGGCCACATTGTGTGGTCCACCATGTGAAACCTTTAGTGAAGCAAGGTTTACTGAAGCACCAGATGGAGTGTCTCGGTGGCCGCGACCTTTGCGCTCGATGAGCAGGTTGTTTGGCCTTGAGGACCTCACGATGAGGGAATTGAGACAGTGTGCGGTAGGCAGTTCTTTTTTCCTTCAGTGTGTGTGGGTGCTTTGTATCCACATTGCCTATGGTGGCCTCTTCGTTGCGGAACATCCAGCACTTCCCCATGACACTGAGAGACCAAGTATTTGGTCTAGCCCGATCATCCAGCTCCTTCTTCAGTTGCCCGATCTACATTTGCATCATGTAGCGCAATACCGTTGGGGAGCAGAGGCTGTAAAGCCAACCGGCCTATTAGTCTGGGCGATGCCATTTTTCTGCAAGGACCTTTATGAGAAGGCTCTGAGCGGCGTGGCCAAGCCGACGACAGTAGCGATTGGGAAAGATGTTCAGGGACGTTTTTGTACAGCACGTCATAAGGAGTATCCTGGGCCATTTTGTCATGCGATTGCACATGCCTTTGCTCAACAATTCACTAGGCTGGTGCGTCGCAATGAGCTCAGACACCCATCGCCTGTACAGCCTGAGCAGAATGAGTGGATCTCTTCTGCTGCTGCTATCAGCGAGGTCATCCGGTGTGATGCCAACTGGTTACCCGATTTCCAGGACCTCTAATTCATGCAAGCGAATGTGCTGCAAGGGTTGAACCCTTCGAGAGCCTGAAATGAAAATGAAAAAAAACAAGCAAACGTACCAGTATCAAGCCCATGTCCTCAGAATTTCTTAATTACTTTCACACCGGTGGGTTCGTTTCTTACATGGTATATAGAATGTGCACAGTGACGTGCGCGTTTCAAATTGAGTATTTGCCGTTTACAAATCTTTAAAGGAGACTCTGATAATCTCTGATACATGCAAAACTCATCAAAACAATTTGTACCTCAAGATGGGCAAGTCTCGTCTGGAGCAGTGTCAGTCCACAAAAGAACTTAAATATGAGACCATTTTGAGACCACTTTGTGGAAACTTCAGTGAGCTGTTATTATTTGAGTTCACGGGATTCCTGGGTCACGTCCTTATATACAGTAGCGCACGCAGTTGTTGATTTAGTGTCATATTCGATCTGTACGGGTTTCTCGGATTTCTTTCAAGTTCCATGTGCATCTGTGGAGCACTGCAAAGCTCAACTGTCTATCTTTGCGCAGGTGGACAACGTTGGCAATGCCTGGGTGGCAGGCTTCACGGGAAGCTCCCTGGATGGGCACACCAATGCGGGCTACAATGACATCTTTCTGATGAAATTCGATGCCCAGGGTGTCCACCTGTGGACGCGCCAGCGCGGTGGTTGGGGCAATGACCATGCTCGGGCTCTTCAGGCGGACGGGGTGCGACTTCGTTTTCGAATCTTTTACATGGAGGAAAAACATGGAAAAACTTTAGAACCTCTTGCGAGGTCTATGTTCTGAGTCAGGTGGAATGGCATCACAGTGTGCGGGTCAATATTAATTGTTGTGCCTTCAAAAAAGTTGATACAGTACTTTTTGCTTCGAGAATTGGAAACAAATGAATTCGATCGATGCACTTTCCTTAGTAAGTCTCTCACCTTCACACAGGTTGGACACGGCTGGTACATGGTCCAGTATATCTGTCAGATATTATCTGATATTTACAGATTATTCAAAGTCTAGTATGTGACATAGCATACCTACACATGCGTGTTTTGCACTAAAAGATGAATATTTGATTCATTCACATGTTTCCCATTGTTTACGCATGTTTATTCGAGTTACATGATATATCATTATAATATACTGGCTTACTGACTGATGATTGATGAGATTTGATGAGAACTGTTGACAGACAGTTTTCCGACTGAAACTTAACCTCGCAAGTGAGCACAGGACACGGACAGAACCACCTTATGCAAATCTCATCAAAACTCTTTGTTCCTTAAGCTCTAAGATGTGCAAGTCCAAGCTAAAACAGCATTGCCAGCCTACAAAGATATGAAATTAGAGACCACTTTATCTGAGTTGAGTTGTTTTCATTCGAATTCACTGGATTTCTCGGTCATGTCCTGATACAGTGGGACATGCAGTTGACATCAGTTGACTATGTGGTGTGATGCTGACCAGTTGGCGCAGGTGGACGACGTTGGCAATGCCTGGGTGGCAGGCGAGACGGGAAGCTCCCTGGATGGGCACGCCAACGCGGGCTACAATGACATCTTCCTGATGAAATTCGATGCCCAGGGCGTGCACCTGTGGACGCGCCAGCGCGGTGGTGGTGGCGATGACTCTGCTCGGGCTCTTCAGGCGGACGGGGTGCGACTTCGTTTTCGAATCTGTTCCATGGAGGAAAAAGATGGAAAAACTTTAGATCCTCTTGCGAGGTCCATGTTCCGAGTCACGTGGAGTGGCATCACCATTGAAATGGATCAATCTCTTGTGTGCCTTTATAAGGTTTGATATCTCGTATCTCGTGAAGTGTCTCATGGAAGTCTGAGCGATGAATTTTGACTAAATCGACAGAGCGGGATCATGTCTTGAATGCTTGGAACTTGGAACTCATAAAAAAGCGCTAGATGATGAGTACTCTGCGATGTGCAAGTTTCTGCTAGAGCGTTGTCATGCCAGGAAAAATCAGACACTTGAGACCACTTTGTATGTGTTGATATCATATAAGGGAGTTGATTTGAGATTTCTTGGTTTAAATGGGTTTCATCCTGACACAGTGGGGCATGGAGGTTTTCAATGCTTTTCATTGTTTTTGCATTTGCAATGATTTGGCGTTATCATTGATCTTCACTTCATTTTTTCCCTGTCTGCTGGGCTTCTCCCTCAGTTTTTCTTTGAATTTCCATGTGCATCTGTGGAGCACTGCAAAGCTCAACTGTCTATCTTTGCGCAGGTGGACGACGTTGGCAATGCCTGGGTGGCAGGCTACACGGGAAGCTCCCTGGATGGGCACGCCAACGCGGGCCTCTGGGACATCTTTCTGATGCAATTCGATGCCCAGGGTGTCCACCTGTGGACGCGCCAGCGCGGTGGTGAGAGCTGGGACTTTGCTAACGCTCTTCAGGCGGACGGGGTGCGACTTCGTTTTCGAATCTTTTCCATGGAGGAAAAACATGGAAAAACTTTAGATCCTCTTGCGAGGTCCATGTTCCCAGTCACGTGGAGTATCATCACAATTTGAATGAATAAATCTGTTGGGTGCACTTACAAGGTCGATATATGTCGATATCTCGTATTTGTTGGAAGTTTAACCCATGCCTTTTGACATCTTTGGACCAGATTCGCAATAAACCAGGCTAAGTCGACAGAGTACGCGATTAAATCGACAGATTGGGGGCATGTTGTCTTGAGCTTATGAAAGTGCTGTTGACCTTCTTGTCAAGATGGATTGTCTCGAGACTGAACAACATTCATGCGCCAAAACAATTGAACATTTTGAAATGCTCAAATTCCATGCCCTTGTGAGTATCTTGCACTGTTAGATCTGTTAGCACGGGCTGGGTTTGGTTGCTATACACGTTGGTGCATATTCTTTACACTTAATTATTGCGTGCTGAAGTTGAGCTCTTTTCATTCGGTCGTTTGCATATTGCAAACAAAGCTGTATAGAAAGACTTCCGAGTTACAGACCATTAATCATCATCCCGGCAGTACCACCACAGCACCACTACCGCAACATACCACCACACAACAGCAATACTACCACCACACCAACAGTATACCCCACCACAACATACCACAACACTACCAGAAGTAGCAGCGGCATAACAGTAGCAATCGTAGCAGTAGGAGCAGCAGTGGGAGGAGCACCAGCAGTAGCAGCATCATGTGGGCCAGGCTTGGTAGACACGACGGAGTAATCGAAATACCGAATGTTGTGCTTTTCCATTCAAAAACATATATAAAAATATAACATAATATAATATAAATTGATATAATATAGTAAAATAAAATATAATATAATAAAATGTAGTTTAATATATATTATGTCATGATATTGTAACATATATAAATATAATATAAATTTATTACACTTATAATTATACTTGTACTATATATATATATAAATATATTATAGATGAGCTATTGATTGGAATCATGACATTGTCAAAAAAAAACCGTACATCTGCTGACTCTTCTGACAGCGTCCTTCACGGCGAAGCCTTGAAAACAAATACAGTCCCACTCATAGTTAAGATCCTCTCACCTTGCCTCAGGTTGGATCCGGTTGGTACAGAGTGTGCGTGGGTGTTTTGGGCATAACTTGTTTTTTGTAGTTATCTGGTCTTTTGCGACGTGTTTTAAGTGGTTTATTGGTGGGACCGGATTGGAATCTTTGAGTCAATTTCCAGACTGAAGCAAACATTGCATATGAGCACAGGCTCAGGATGGCTACAGAACCCAGGCCCAGAACGAGCACTTAAACTGTGCAAGTTTCACCTAGAGCAGGGTTGTCAGCCAATTGAAATTTGTGAGCGCCATGTCTGAGTTAATTTGAGTTGGCTTGATTTCTTCCTTTCGTCCTGATACTTTGGGTTACGCAGTTAACCATTTGGTATGGTTTGGTTATGTTTGGTTTATGTTTGATTTTCCCGTGGGGGCCCCACTGATCAACGAAAGCTAGCTTCCGCTAGCTGCAGTTAATCTGCTTCAGCGATGCTTTTAGATGCGGGACTGGAACCGCAAATGGCCTGAGGCTTTCACATGAATTCGATTCCGCACCAGGTTTTTCCAGACCCGATTAAGCAGCAACAGCAGCAAAAACAACAACGGCGGCCTTGCAACAGTTGGATTGTAGCAGAAACATTGGCAACCATTGGCAAACACTGCTAGGACATGCTGGGACAGTCTATGGCATTGTGCCATGAGAATTTTTGCAGTGAAACACAAGCTTATTGAAACATATTTTGATGACCTGGTTTCAAGTGAATTTGAATCAGTAACAGACAAAAGACAGTTGTACCCATACACTTATTCTGTCAGTTCTGGAGTGGAGGTATGTTTAGCGTCATCTAATATGTGTTGCCCCATCCGCACCAACGCCTTTCATTGATACAGAAGACAAGCAGGTTTGAAATTTAGTGACAAATAAAATCTAATCATGAAAATCAGCTGAGTTTCACGATGGTTCGAAGCATTGCATGTTCAGCTGCAGCTCCCCCTGTATGATTTGTGAGATACGCCCATGCCAAAAGTACACATTTGTAGATCATGGTGCCCGGTTTTTGTCTACTTAGTTCAACACGCATGCCAACAAGTTTGTTGTTGCATCTTTTCATGCAATAAATGGCTGCGTAACAACCTGAAGGAGCAGATACCCATCTGAAACTAGCAGGATTCCATTCACTGCTGTTCCATTTGCATTGTCTTCTCTCGTTGCCGCCCATAGCTAGCTTTCGTCGTCCATTACCCTTGGCCTCAAGTGGGTTTCTCCCTGTGTGTTTCTATCAAATTTCCATACGCATTTGGTGGCACCACACAGCCCAGCGGACCAGTTTGCGCAGGTGGATGTGAACGGCCATGCCTGGGTGGCTGGCTACACGCAAAGCTCCCTTGATGGACACAGCAACGCGGGCAAATATGACATTGTCCTGATGAAATTTGATGGCGAAGGCGTCCACCAATGGACGGACCAACGCGGTGGTGAGGGCGATGACCGTGCTCGTGCCCTCCAGGCGGATGTAGTGCGACGTCCTTCGTTTTCGAATCTTTTCCATGGAGGAAAACATCAGAACTCTTTACGGTGTCCATGTTCGTCATCACCATTTAAATTTAATTGCTCAACATGTTGGATGCCTTTACAAGGTCAAAATCCCGGTCAAAATCCGGTATTCAGATGTATGTGGTGGAAGTTTGATCGATGTCCTTGGACTAAACTGGATTGAATCGACAGAATTGGATCATGTTTAAATGTTTGGAGCTCGTGAAAATCTTGAAGAATCCATAAGAATCCTGAAGACTACCTTGAGATCTTGCCAACAGCGTCCATCTGCCTGAAACCCAAAAAAGAATCAAACCCACGGGTGCTTGAGAATCTGTCACCATCACTCTGGTAGGATCGTGCTGGTGCTTGTACGCTGTACATGTTTTTGTGAAACACATGTTCAAATTTTTGAACATTTGAGCATATGGTCATATTTGGTCTTTTACATTGGTTACATATGTTTACTTGATGTACCTGATGAGATTGGTGAGAAAATTGAGAGTTCATGGCCGGAATGAAGCAAGAAATGCAGGTTGGCAGGGTATCTAAGCATAGCAAGTATTTAATGCACAGCTATTTGTACTTAAATAAGATGTGGAAGTTTCAGCCAGATCAGCGTTGTCAGCCTACAATGCCTACAAGGACTTGAAAATTGGGACTGGTTTGTCCGATAGTATGAGTATGAGTTATATAATAATTGGTTTGATTTCATTTCCCACTTTCGTCCTGTTACAGTGGGGCACGCAGTTGTTGATTTGGTATGATTTATGGGGCCATGTCACTCTTTCATACTCTTTCCTGGTTGGGGGGGTTTCATATCATGCTTCCTTCGGTTTCCATCCGCATCTGCGCAGCACAGCAATGCCCAGCTGACCACTTCACGCAGGTCGATCCCACGGGCACTGATGCTTGGGTAGCTGGCGGGACAACAAGTTCCCTGGATGGGCACAGCAACGCTGGCGGAAAGGACATCTTTCTGATGAAGTTTCAAGTGACTGGGTTGAAGGTTGAGAGGCGGGTAGTCGGAGCACATCGGAGCACCGAAGTTGGAACCATCGGGTCAGCTTCTTCAGGTGTTGCCAGGAACAGTTCAAAGTGGAAAAAATGCCAGTTTCTGTCTGGTTTGGAGGATGTTTGGGAGATCTTAGGAGTGAAGTCCATCCCCCATACCATGTTGCCATTTTCTCTCTTTATTTTGAAGACATGCGAAAGATTCATCCGGATCCCTCACAGCCACAATTATATACGCATACCCCATGTGACCCATCGTTACTCTACCAAAACAAAGGGGAGGTGAGATCATACATTGTGCCCACAGTAAAATGCATGAGCACCACATGCAAAGATTGGATTCATAGACATCTCCACGGGAGGAAAGCAGATGAAAGCAGGTCCTAAACCAGTGGAAAGATCGTTGGCCACGTTGGCCGGAACGCCTTCCACTTTGCTAAGGCCGAGTGCAGCCAGGTAACATGTCCAGCCGGCTACGTGCAAAATCCCTCGAGGAGCAACACCTGCTGCGTGCGGTCCAGTACCCCAACTTCGTCAACGACGGCATCCACCAGGACAACATCATGGAAAGTATCAACGTCAACGACGAAGCCGTCAACCAGTATCAGCAGACCAAGATCCACAACGAAATCATCAACCAGCACAGCATCAGTGACGACCGCATCAGCCAGCGCAAGCGCGGAAGAAGCTCTACCGGCTCCATCGGCATTGCCACTGTTCCTCGGCTTAGTTTCAAAAGCACATGGATGCCGAGAGGTATCGTTGGCATGATGCTTACAAGCAAAGATCTTGACACATTTTTTTAGCATTTGCCACCCGCATGATGTTTTTTTTTCGAACTGGCAGTCGACATGTCACAGTCTCCAGTCATTTTTTTTTAAGGGTCCTGAAAGATATCGTAAGATGTTCTCCACAGAACAGCCTTGGCAACTGCCCAACCTGAGGTCACATGAGGTCGCTGCTTGGCACGATGCATGTAGCTGCAACTATTTGTAATCATTCAGCATGGCTGACTGGGAAATTCCATTTGTTTATCAAACGGCAAGAGCATCGACACATGGGTTCACAGATATACATGGGGTTTTCCGATGACATCTCAGATTGCCAGAAGGTGTCCCGTTGTGATTTCTGACGGGTTAATACACCTGTACTGAACTGGTACCATCAAATCAACTATTGGAAGGTCTAGGGTGCATAATAAACAGGTTTCTGAAGAGTGGTGGGTGGCTTGTTTCTGTCAGATGTAAATTGGGGCCCTGCTTGTTTTCTTTAAGTTTAAAGGTAGCAGGTATGGCACTGAAACCTCGATAGCTGGTACTTCGCTTCATTATCCTTGCCATGTTCAAATCAGCTGTTTTGGTCACTTGAGGAACAGCAAACATCAACCACGACTGCCTCAGCCGATGTCGAGAACTTGAAGAAACCGGGGATATCAAATACCCAATCGATCGATTTGGGCGCAAACACCGCCAGCACATCAAGCGAACATGATTCGACTGGATTATCACGTGAAGATGATTCGACTGGATTGCCACTTGCATGTGGAAGGGCGGGGGGCTTTTCCCGAAAGAGTTCCTGTACTTTTTCGACGAAAACCGGGCACGTCCAGATGAAAAGAGCCATGGTTTGTGTAGTCTATAGAGTCCTGTCTTTGCACAACGTACGGACATACCGTGAAATACCGGTCGTAGACTCTCATGAAGCTCTCCTGAACTGTGACGAATTTGTCGTTCTAAGTTGCCTTCTTCAAGGCTGGTGGCTGCGGTGGTGGCTGCGGTGGTGCTGCCATTGCTGACGGCGTGCCTTTGTGCTGCCCTGGGCATCTACTGTTACCGCGCGAAGCTCCGCCAGCTGCGAGGTGGTCTTAGTGGTCCATTAGATTCTCAAATCTTCTGAAACGAACAGATCCATCACGATCCATCACGTATTTTATCAGTAATTCATGATAATTCAATGTTTCTAAGGTGGGGTAAGTTTAGGGGAAGGGTGAAGGGATTTAAACATTGGATACAAAAGTGACACCAGACATTTTTGGTTCTTTTGGATCAAGTTCGCGGTGTTCACGGCGCGCATTTCTGAGGAATTTCACCCAAAGTCGTTTCTCTAGTGGAGCCATGTGATTGAATTCAGGAAACGAGTCGCACATGGATATTGCGTTGACTTGAATTGATGTTTCTCGTTGACCCTGTTTTGCTAGGAGTTCCGGGGTTGACATTTTCGATTTTAGGATTTTTAGGAACAAATTTGGGCTGCCAGCATTGTGTTGCCCGGAAATGTCAGGTGCCGAAGCAGAGCCTCAAGTCCCAAATCCGCTGGCGATGCTGCCGCCCCTTGCGTGGTCTGTGAAACCTCTCATTTTCTCATGGAATTCCAGGACACTTTGAGACGACTTTCTTTGAAGTTGGGAACTTTTGAGGCTTTTGAAGCTTTTGAGCTTGAGTTTCATGATGTTTCATTTGCACGGTCATGGGATCCCCAGGGCAGGGGATGATGTTTTGACACCATGATCTTGTTGTCACTTTCAGCTTGGCAGGATGACTGCGGAATGGCCACAGGGAAAAGTTCAGAAGCTTTCGGTGTCTTACCAGATCATGGATTTCCCCTTGGTAATCAAACAATCCAGTTAATCCAGGCAATGTTAAATGTAGATTTTCTGTTTTCCATATTCGATTGCAAAGTTTCTATGTTGGAGACTGATGGAAACCGAATGCAGGATGAACTGCGCAAGGATTAGCAAGTATATGAGGATATGGAATGCTGATACCCAGAAATTTCAAGCTGCGAAGCTAGTCCCATGTTGGCTTTCTAAGGTGAGCGAGACGGCTTTTGAATTGAGTGGTCGCCAGTTTCAATTTCGACCAGGGCAAGTTCAACATTTTACCTGGGAAGATGGAACTGTCCAGACGGTGCAGAGCGTTCAAAAGACGCCCATCTAGCAGATATAGATTTGTCGCAGGTTTATTGATGGTTCCTGTTCATCCCTGTTCAGCTTGTCGATGCTCAATGAAACCGTCCACAATTACGCTGCAGTAGCACCTGGTACCTTGCACTGTTTTCAATGTTTTTCACTTACTTGGTCCTACACGGTCCTACTAATTTTCCGAAGCCGTCCCGAGCCGTCCCGAGCCGTCCCAAACTGTCCCAAGATTCCAGGAACGTTGTGTGGTGGAGCACGCAGCATCCCCATCCTGCTTGGCAACGCTTCAGGCAGATCCGGAGACCTGAACACAATGCAAAACAAATAGAGGAAACAGGTGGACAAAAATATGTGAAAGACCTGGAAGAATCAAACCTCTTCAAAAAAGAGTGAAGAACATAGAAGAACATAGAAGAACTATATGAATGAGTTTCGGAAGCGACAGCACCCAGTACGTTGCTGCCAGTCCACGTTGTGACCCGTCCATGTCGCAGCCCAGGTGGGTTTGCACTCCAAAATGCCAAATCGAAAATCACCACGACATGGAGCTCACTGACTCGGCGGACTCGGGTGATGGCTACAGATGCTGCGCTTGAAACAGCCATCGTCAAATAGATTCACACAGCCTCTGATTCGCCACTATATTCCAATTTTCCGATGAGATAGCAAGCAACAGACCGTATCTCAATGTATCTCAGAGATTGGCTTGACAACGTGCCCCAAAATGGTAAAGCGCGTTGTTCTGCACTGATGTGTACTTATCTTTTCTTTATCTTTTTATTTACTTCTTGCAACTAATGTCGTAACTTGGCTAGATCACGGTAGACCCCATACCTGGCTAGGTCATGCAGGGTCCAAATCCGTTCACAGTCCGTTGACGATATTCACGGCTCGGCTGTTTTCTACACAACTTGTTTCTTCAGCGCATGCTCGTGAAGATGATATTGTATTATATATCATTTGAAACATAATTTCTTGATGCTTCCTGAAAAGGACGCAACATGACACGACTACATTGAACTGCTGGAATTCGGCATGCCATTTCAGCAGACGAGTAAATTTGAAGCAGTTGCCAAGAGTTGTGTTTCTAAAGACTCAGGATGCACATCGTGCTCGCGGCTTCGAGCTGGAAAGCACTGGTACTGCCCGCAGCATCAGGTGTCGCAACTGACAAGTGGAAACGGACCGAAAACGGAGAATCTCAGAACTCAAACTTTTCGATGTGACAACTTGTCAAAACCTCTCTAAACTGTTCCGGCAGCTGATAGCAGCTGTGGACCAGGTGCACGTGTGCCCAGTTTGCGCAGAGCTGCCACCTGAGATGCCCACCTTGGGGTTGGCAGCCACCTATTTGGTGGACATTTTTCCACCTTTGGCCCGCAGTGCCTCGACATCGAAACTGTGTAAATGAACATTTGTTCCTCGGTGGACTCCAACATGGAGTGTTTTTCCATGGCTTAAACTATGCTGAGGAGTGACCAGAGCTGAGAATCCAAATTTCTACGATATTTGCCCAAACTTGGCGCACGGGACGGCCGGTCCCTTGCCTTGACGACTGTAGTCTCAGCAAAGTGCATGACGTTTGACATTGAAGCACCATATTTTTAGCATTTTTATTTTTAGCATTTTTTTAGCATTTGCATTTAAAGCTGTGTCTCTTGTATTCTTAGCCTGGCACTTGGCAAGGTATGGGTTACAACAGGACATGTCCCAGAGATGGAAGGCCCCACTGCAGCATTGTGGACGCGTTGGAAGATGCATACAGTGGCCACTTGGTTTCAGGGTTTCACCATGTTTCACCATGATCAGGGATGATGAGGGATGGCTAGATGACATCAGGTGTAAAGGATACAATAGATATCGACAGATATCAACCCTTGATTTCAATGACTTTGAGCGATCATTTGGCAAACATTGTGATCATTTTCTGCAGTGCCTGAGGAAAGGTCACGCACTTCGTTTCATGGTGCTGGGCATATTCCTTGAACGATGTCGTCAGTGCCATTGAGCGATGGGTGCAAAAGTCCAATGAAGATGCACGGAACGTCTTCCTGTGGATGTGCTTCTTCTGTAATAACCAGTATCGAATCAAAGAGGAGGCTCCTAAGTCAAGCCGTGGCAGTTGTTACAACATGTGACAACTCCAAAGTCGCAGTTCACTTCTGTTTCGGCTTGTGACCACTGTTTTACCGATGGGCAAGGAACAACGGGTGGATTATGCAAGTCATGTGCGGTGGATGCATCATCGAGACCCAGTTTTTTGATGTTTTTTGATCGTTGAGCTTTATGTGTCATGACACAGTTTTCATCGTTGCGTAGATGGACAGTTTTGTCCCTGGAGGCGACTCAAACAGGAAGCGATGATCTGAAAGAAATCTTCGAATCCCATCTGGTGGAAGCGGGACATATGTTGGTGCTGCTCGATACCATTGTGTCAGGGGCTTATCTGCTTATCTATCTTATCTGATGAAAGTGCGTGAGCACATGTGAGTACGTAACTGAGCGACTTTGAAACACATATTTGGGTGGTACTAGTAGCATCATGTGATGGTAAGACGCGATAAATCTTGTTCCAGGGGGAGGGCTACAACTTCTCGAACTTGAGAACGTTTGTGAATGTGTCCATCATATATAAACCAAGAGCTTTCAAGACCTAAGTCACTCATCAATTTGCAGTTCTTGGTTCTTCATGAATATCCGTTGAGTGGCAGTCCCCAAGACAGCCAAGTTGCAACTTGGGCCTCCGAGGCAGCCGACCTACGTGAAAGGTTATTTGTCGCAAATGTGGCAAGATGGCGAATCAAGCAAAGGAGCTTGCTACGCTGTCCTGTGAAAAGTATGTGGCCGGCAATGGCCCCAAGAGGAAGAAGATGCTGGCAAGGCTCCGCGCTTGTCTCAACAAAGCGTCCATCAGTGATGCTCTCAAGGATGGTGCCCGTACAGTTTTGAACATTATTGACTCAGGCAAGGGAAGCTCCAAAGACACTGCGCCCAAACACCATATTGAGGCACTTGTCTGGCCGGTAGATTTCACGGTCCGTTTTGCTTGCACGAGATGCAAGCGGTGCATGAAGGACGAGAAACATTTCCGTGGAATGTCTTGCGCCAACAGCACCGTTTGGAACCAAAAGAGAAAAGGCAACAAAGACGCCTTGCTGGAGCTCGCCAACAAAGAACCTGGGGCGAGGCAGAGAGCGGCGCTCCGTGCTTTGGAGATTTTGGGGTTTCAGCAAGAGGAAGGTGATTCTACGGACCAATGACGGGTACGTCTAGCACTTTAAGGTTGGGAACTATGAATGTCCGGTCATTGAGTGGCCGGTTGGGTGGCGTTTTTGAGTTAGCAAAGACTGAGCAGATCGATGTTCTTTGTTTGCAAGAAACTAGAGTCAATGTCGACAGTTGGAGCGCTGTCAAGTCAGCTGCAAACCAGCGAAAGTGGCAAGTTTTTCCTGGCGGCCAAGGGGTAGATGCCAAGAATGTGGTGATTGGCGGGACGTTAGTTTTGTCAAAGTGGCCTGCTGAAGCGTTGGCCATTCCAAGTCAGTTTGCACCGGCTGACCGTGCCATGGCGCTGAAGCTTTTTCGACCTCACCAGCGACCGCTTCTTCTGATCAATGTGTACCTACATGCCAACGATCAAACAGCTGCTGGCCACGCCTTGGCTGCCATTTTTGAATACGTTGCTATGCTGGGCGAAGAAGCAATCATTGTGGGCGATTTCAACAGGGAAAGGCATGTTTGGCCGGCCTCCACCGCGCTGGCGTCGGGGCAATGGTATTCTTGCGATGAACAAGTCTGCGGAGACCAGATTGGCCCTGGCACCCATCGCAACTCAGATGGTGAATACACAGGGGTGGTCATTGACTACGCGCTTTCAACTCCCAGAGTTGTTGTTTCCGGAAGAATGCAGTCTTTAGGTGTTGCTGACCATGATGCAGTCATTTACGATATACATGTGCATGGTAGCTTACCCACGCCTTGGAGATTGCCGGCAAGCGCACCACTCTTGCTTTGCAATGTGGAGGTTGAGAACTGGAATGTTGCTTGGGCAGAATCACAGCAAGATTTCACCGATGCTCTGGCCGTCGGAAATGTGGATCAAGCTTGGGTGGTCCTGAGCAACTGTGCTGAATCTTTGCTGCTTGCACAAGGCAAGCCCAGCAGGGCATCAAGGGACGGCCCGCACAAAATGGCGAGCCCCCCATCAACCAAAGCTCCTACGTTGCAGACTTTGGAGGAGCGAAAGCTGAGAAGATTTGCACGGCGGGTGGTCGAATATCAAAAGGCTCCTTCGCCGCAATTGCAAACCAAGCTGTTGCGCGATGCTCCGCTTTTGCACTCGTCTCTTACTGCGTTTTCTTTATCTGATGGTGGTTTGGCTCCCGCCGCTTTGCTTCTTGCAGATGAGGTGGCCAAAAAGGCGTCTCAGCGACGCCTTGCTGCTTGGAAAGAGGACATTCAAGAAAATGTTGCGAAACTGGGGAAGTGGGTTCAGCAAAAACCACCTGATCCACCTACAGCAACACAGGTCGATGGTCCTATTTTGCCTGAAGATAAGGCAAGACAGGAGGCAGCTGCGTGGCACACGCATTGGAATCCGGACCACCTCCCACATTTAGACCAGGTTTCAAATTTGTGTTTGCAGCTCAACAATCAGGTCGACCCAGTCACGCCTGAAAGCATTCAAGTGGTTGGGGCTGATTTGGCGCGTTCTGCGTTGAAAGCTAAACAAAAAGCGGCTGGTATGGATGCTTGGACTGCGGCTCATTTGTGCAAGTTGCCGGAGTCCTTTTGGAATCACGTTGCAGTCTTGTGGTCGGCGTGCATGCAGTGTGCGAAAGTTCCTACAATGTGGAAAGATATTCGCATAGCCTTGATTCCAAAGGCGGCCGGGGGCCTGCGCCCACTTGCCATCACGACGGTCCTGTGGCGCATCTGCATGAGTGCAACTTTGCAAAAGCTCCGACCATGGATACAAGAATGGGCCTTGCCTCAGCTTTGTGGCGGCCGTCCAGGAAGAGGCATTATGGATGTTCATGAAGTGCTCTACGAAGACATTCGTGCTGCCAAACGTTCAAGAGTTGATTTTGTTGGCTGCAAGGCCGATATCCGTAGGTGTTTCGATTCAGTTTGTCCAAAGACTGCACTTGCTATTTGGCGCTGGTTGGGTGCTCCGGCCAGTTTGTGTGACATGGTGGAAAATTTTTACACTGACCAACGCAGGTGGTTTGCCTGGCAAGGCATTTTCCATTCAGAGCCCATTTGTGCTCGGCGGGGGCTGCTGCAGGGCTGCCCGGCAAGCCCAGCCTTACTCAATGCGGTGATGGTAGTCTGGGTGCGCTTCGTTCTTTTGCAAGAGCCTCGTGTTTCTCTTGCAGTTTATTTGGATGACCGCACAATGTGGAAGAAAGGTGTCAACGGCATTCACGTGGTCACCAACGCCATGCAGGCAGGTGCGCAGGTTGATGCAATTCTGGGCATGGAACTCCATCCTGACAAGTTAAATAGTTTCACAACCAAGCAACATTTGACGCCTCAGCTGTCACAGATACAGGACGTGTTGGGGGCTCCTTGCAGCAAGTTCACGCTTCTGGGTATTCAGTACAATTTGGAGCGTGCAGGTGCTTGTGTTAATGCAGAGAAGCTTTCCTTTGACATTCAGGAGAGGTGTCGCAAAATCAGGTTGGCAGCGAAACGTTTGGGCACCCGCAAGACCTTGCTGGGACAGTTGGTGATCTCTTTGTTTGCATGGACAGGAGCTTTTCACCACTATGATGTTGATACCATCAAGAGTTGGACCTCCAGTATTGAAGCGGCGGTCTGGGGGCGCAAGCCTGCCCCAGGTCGCAGTAGATTGCTGTTCTGGAACTCTTTGGGCACACCGCGTTTGCATCCTGCTTTTGCGCTTCACTTTGCTGCAGCCCGGGCTGAATGGCAGCGCCAGTGCCGCTTGGCCATAGGTGTGCCCACCGCTGTTTCGCCAGGCCCAAGGTGGAATACTGTTTGCAAAGACTGGAATTGGCGTGTTGAGGGTGGTTTGTGGATCACTCCCGTGGGGACTTTGAAACCAGGGTGGATGTCTTCTTCAAGCTTATACAAAGCTGCTGCTGCAGCATGGCTGGCTTTTATGTGGACGAAGGACACCAAAACGGAGGGTCCTTTACCTGAAGGTAAGTTGCCTGTGTTCCAATTCCAGGCCAATGTGGCGCATGATTTGAACTATTGTGGTCGCAGAGTCTTGACAGGTGCAGCAGTGGATGGGAGAGTTACTCAACGTTTGGAAGTCGACTTGCAGTGTGATTGTGGTTTGAGCTCTCCTGATCGTGAGCATTTCACTTTCTACTGCGAGGCAAATCCTTGGCATGGTGATCTCAAAACTCCAACTGAAAGGCGGTTGCTTGTTCCTCTTGTGGATGCTCCAGCTGTTCTTCCTTTTGAAGATATGACGGCCGACCCCATTCTGGTGGCTTTTCTACAACAGTTTGACCCACATCAAACGCCGACTTTGGGCTTGGATGGAAGTTGCGCAATCGCTCCAGGGTGCGAACTTTGGCAGCGTGCCAGCTGGGCTGTGGCGGCACATCTTGGGCCCACGGTCAATGGGTTGGTGCATGGTTTCGAGCAAACTCCTGCTGCGGGCGAGAGAGGTGCACTTCTTCAAGCCTGCTTGGCTTCCCATGAAGCGAACAGAGCGGTGCGCTTGCTGATTGACAACCAAGCTCTTGTGCAACGTCTTCATCGTGGCATGCGGCTTGGTCAGTGGGGTGGAGATCTTTTTCCATACTGGCATTATATCAGGATGCTTTTGGTTGATGGCTCTTCTTGTGCTTGGATTCCCTCGCATAATAAAGTTCCTCGATGGCGCCCACCCGAAGGGTGGCTTGATGTTTTGCGTTGCCGCATGCTCAATGCCAAAGCGGATGCTAGCGCGGCTGATCTTACAGGTCAATTTCGGCAGGTGATTGCTACTTGTTTGTCACAACACAGAGAGGCAGTTGTTTGGGCTGGAGAAGCTTGGAAGGCGCAACTAAAGGGTTCTCTTCCCTACTGGCAAGTTTTGCTTGAACACGAACCACGTCAAAACAGGTCGTTTGAATGAGCGTTTGCTGCTTCTTCAGCTGCATGGGTGGTACTTTTC